ACATCTTTATGGAGTCACTTCTCTCCTCCTTACTGCCCTTTCTGGAGAACATCTTTATGGAGACGCTTCTCTCCTTACTGCCCTTTCTGGAGAACATCTTTATGGAGACGCTTCTCTCCTTACTGCCCCGCTTCTTCTCCTTCATCCTCTCCCAGTCATCTTGTCCTCCTCCTGCTCCTACTTCCCCTTCCCCTCTTCTTCTCTCCTTCCTTTCTTCTTACTTTTTCTTTATCACTATATAATTATGATCCAATTTAAACATTTTTCATGCCTGTTCTCATCTTTAAAATTGGAAAATGTGTGTGTTGGTATGTAATGCTTTTTGCTTTAAGCCATTACAGTCAATAAAGGAACTATTCTTTCACCTCTGAAAATTTACTTCTAAAACTCAAGTTAAACAGACCAGCATCCCACAGATGGATGGGAGAACCTAAACATTTGATTCTTCCTTCCTTGAGTCTTCTTTCATCTATGAAATATTATTATGAAATCTTACAGATTGAATCATCAATAGCAAAAGGTTTTACTTTGAGCCACCATAATGAACATACCATAAAAGGGAAATTATAAAAATAAGGTTAAGCGAATTAAACTAGTTTTGCTAACAATCTCACCCTATTCTTAGATTCAGGTCATAAGACATTTAAAAGGAGAAGATCTATCATAAACTGGGCCTTTTGGCGGGGTTCTACCACTCACCTGGACAACTTCCCCGTGTCACCACCAACATCTCCTGCGGCAGGACAGCTTTTTGGAGTTTCTCTGCCAGATATCTGTGAGAATGACAATCTGCCCAGACCTATCTTGGTAAGACTCATTTTGGCCTATAAATTAATGGGAAAGGGGATTTTAGAAGGGAGAGCCCTGGAGATAAATCTGTTCCCAGATGGAAACACTACAGCCCTGGTTTTGACTAAGAATCTTTATTATATAAAAATCTGATTTAGCTATTGTAGAATCATAAGGAAGACATAATAGGAAGAAATAACCTGGTGTGCTGATGACAAGAAAGAGCCACAGAAGTCTGCTCAGTTAAATTACAGAGTTGGCTCTGTAGACAGGGCATCTTCTCATCCCTCAGAAATCGTTTCTTGAAATCCACATTGTTCTGAAAGCATTTTATCACTTTAGTATCAGAGAACACTCAACCTTACATTTGAGTTCTAGGAACTATTTTATTTGTATTTCAGGTGTTTCAGCAAAAAGATACAGTCTCTGACAATTATCTTCTGTATATAAAATGGGTCAGATGAAAGCCACTGAGTTTATATTCTCTCCAACTGATCTATTAAATTGATCACTGTTAGGCAGACTGTATTGCTTACCCTCTGGGCACTGTGCTGCATGGATGGCATTTAATGCTGTATCGTGCACCTGGAGGTGCCGTCCATTAGTCTACACACTATTGTTTTATCCTTCACAGCTAATTTAGGGGTTTCTGATTATTGTATCATCATCCCTACTTTCAAATTTTTGTAAAGCTCCAGAACTTTACCCAAGGTTACACAATGAGTACATGGCATAACTAGGTTTCAGATCCCATGGATTGCTTCTCTCCAAACCTATTCTCCTCCCATACTGCAAGCAGGGATCATAGAGATGGAAAGAAAGTAAAATTAGAAAACACTTAAAATCTTTTTCTGCCAGTTTTTCAGAATACAATGCATTGTTAATGGTAGTTACAATCTTATAAAGTAGATCCCTGGAATTTAATCCTATCTGATGAAATTTCATATCCTTTGACTAACATCTCCTTGACCCTCCCCCCAACTGCCCTCAGCCCCTAGTAATCACCATCTGTTCTCCAAAAAATTGATCTTAATGCTTCCAGCCAACTAGCCAGCTCCTGTCCTCCAGAGCTTTTACCCTCATAGGCCCTGGCCTCTGGCAGCCAAAGAAAGCCGTTTGTGTGTGTGAAGTGCCATTTATTTTCCCCTTTGCTTCCCCATAGGATGTGCTTTTGTTTCTCAATGAAAAAGGACCACTCACAAAAGGCGTCTTCAGGCAACCAGCCAATATGAAATCCTGCAGAGAACTAAAAGAGAAACTGAATTCTGGAGTCGAAGTCCAACTAGACTGTGAAACTGCTTTTGTGTTAGCATGTGTCTTAAAGGTAGGCGAAGTTCTCTCTTAACTCACCCCATGGTGTAGCTCTGGAGAAGATTTTTTTTTTATCATTATGAACATTATTTCTATACTTATAATAGATTTAGAATCAAAAAGTGTTAAAAAAATTCACAAAGTCAATATTGGACTTTAGAAACTACCACCAATGATACGACATGTCAGATATGCTTTTAAAATGTTTTTTTCAATCCCACACTAATCTCATCTTCACGTCTGCCACCCAATGTAAAAAATAAAATTTAATTAAAATTTAAAAAAATCAAAACACGCATGTTTACCAAAACAGACATTCCTGCTCGTGATGATTTCTTCCCTATCCCACTGTCTTCCTAGTGAAGGTTTCCAAAAGTAAACTTTTGTTAAACCTTTAAAAGTTGTTACAGAAGTTTACCATAATATTTGCCTTACAATTGGAACAAAAAATTTCTGCTGAGTATTCCATTCATTTACAAAGTCATCACAGATACCCCTTCCCTTGTGCCCTAATTCCTTTTCCTTTAAAAGCTGAGTAGAAATGACTTCGACCTGTGGCTTTTCTTTTACCTTTACCATGTTTGACATTCTTTATGGTCTTACCTTTCAACTCTCATTGCTTAAGTTACATCTTCAGTTATAATGAAAGGTTATTGAGTTCTAAAATATTTTTTGCCGCACATTCTTTGAAATGCCCCTAGAGTTAAAACCAGCTTTAAGCAGAGCTTTTCACCCCACCAATAGATTCTGCAAACTGTCTTAGGCTCTTATCTCCCAAGGTATTGGAAGGCACCAGAGCCAGGGGCAGAGACAGCCCCAACCTGCATCTCAGAGCCTGAGGCAAATTAAGGAAACCGCAATGAAAAAGAACCTTACAGCCTAGTGGCCAGCTGCTTATAGATCTTACTTCATGACTTCACAGACAACCAGGTAGCAAACCTTGCTGTAGACTTTAGCAGCAGAGTCAGAGAGTTTGAAGTAGGGTCATTGTTTTGCACAGGGTTTGTTAATTACTCCTCAATCCTGAAACACAGATGTACGTGGTATGCTTGGCCAGTTATATGTGCAGGGTGAGTTGTTTTTGTTTTTCATATAATTAGGTTTATTTCCATCCTTCTTACCTTTAAGGTAAACTCTGTCTTAGAAAAATAGTCTCATATGCTGTTCTTCACAGCATCATGCTACTTAAAATTTGGGGCAAAATTTTTGAGGCTCTTGCAAAGGAGCATAGTTCTAAAAGCATTAAATTGTGTTTAAGATTATATAAATATTAATCTAAAAACAAAAAGATAAAAAATGATTCAAATGATTGAAGAGTCTGGCTAAATGGGTTCCAAGTAATTGAAGTTTTATCCTATAACTACATTTTATTCCCATTTCTTCCAAGTGGTTGCAAAAAAAGTACATCATTTTTACTAAAATTTTGGGAGCTTTTGTTTTGTTTCATGTTAAGACTGTTTTGAAATGGTACTTAAAGTTTTTCTTTCATTTTTCCCTTATGCTGGTTTTGCTAAAATATAATTTCAATTTTTCAAACTGTAATTGGACAAAAATTGCTTGAGATACCAAAACTTTATTCCATTAGACCTTTGAGGAAAAGCTCATATTTAATCCTGCAGAATCTCATCTGAAATGAATTTGCGAGCTCTGCTGATGGCCTAAGCTCTGGTTTTGGAGGGAAAGAGACCTTCAGTTGAGTGCCATGAGTTGGTGGTTGCAATTCAGAACTACATCTCACATCCCTTTCAGCTGTTATGGTGGTTGTATTTCATAACTTATTATTCCAGCTGTGGGAGAGTTCATTGAGATGTTACCAAGTTATTATCTTTCAAGTGTAGGTTTAAGATTGAATGATGTTTTTCTCCAAGACAGATCATAAGTATGTTTTCCACTGAGATCTTAAAAGAGCTATTGTCACTCCCCCTTTTTGAAATAACAGATTTTGCCTCTTCTAAATCTGACTTTTAAAGTGGGTGCAGCAGCTAAAATTAGTTTGGTATTATGAAAACTCAATAGCTTTACCCAAGAAGAGGTGACTCTGTGATGGTATACCTGAATCACAAGCATCCAGGGACATTTCTACTGAAAGAAATAAGAAATTGTAGAACAGAGGAAGACTTTGAATCAGCCCATCTTCCTTCTTGTTAACTACTCTAAAAAGAAAATAAATGGTATTAAAGTGACATGATGGCAAAGAGATTCTTAAAATTACCTTTGAATTTCATTTACAGTTGACTGGCGTTCTCTTGTCCCTCATTAATGTTTGGCCATATGACATTAGCAGCAGTTCTGTAATGACATCTACTATGGCTGGGACCTCGCTTGGCATTGATGTTTACAAAGAAGGTCTGTCCCTACCCTGGAGAAGCTCATAAGTGGGGAGGATGCCCACATGGTCAGCTAACTGTAACAATAAGTTATCACAGCTTCCATATTAGTGATATGGAACATGATATAAGTAGTGAGTTATGTGTTGACTTCTATAAAGCACATAAAGTTATTGATTTGGTTTTCCAGCAAGAGTTAAAATTATCCAATTGCAGACTTTCACCTGTCTCTATGTCAAAAACAGGAAATTGCAAGTAGGCAGCCAACCATAGGTATAATGCTTACACATGAAATGAGTTTGCTCTGCCTACAGTTCACTGAGATGGAGATCATACTGCAAGCTTGGTATTGCTAATACACACCAAAAGCAATGGAAAGAGTTGGCCTATAATCAACTGTCTAGGATCAGGACCAAAATTTGTTTGCTTTTAAGCTTTTGTTAACAAAAGCCAAACAACAAATGCTTTTGGTCATATCCTGTTTGCGTTGTGGTTTGGTTTAAGCACACCCAGCCCCACCGGTGGTCTCACCAGATTAGGGTCTCCAAGAATGGATTATGCACCGTGGACATGTCACTTAGTGTGCATCAGGCATGGGGGTGCTCCCAGATCCCAGCTATCACCGGAATGCTTTCTCTCCCCAAGTATGTGAGAACCCTTGTGTATGGAATACAGGAGAAATCCTTAAGTAAACCTCTTGAGGCAATTGTGCACCAATACAAGAGAAATATAAAATTCTAACATAACAGGAACGTTTTTATTCACTTTTCTATCCCTAGTACCTCAAGCAGTGCTTGGCGTATATGTATAAGCACGTGTAGGATGACTGAATGAATGATTGCCAGATTATGAACCTCACAGACAACTTGGTGCATTTCTTTGAACTAGCCATTTAAAGAAAGGAAAAAAGAAGACTTAGAATGCTTACTGCCATAGCCTGTCATGATGAGTAGTTTGATACAATATATGCATACAGGAGGTTCCACCTAAACCGGTTGTCCTTTATCTTTCTCACTATAATCCAGCCCTCAGTTATCCCAGTGGCTTTTGTTAGGAAAATATCAAAGCATGTGTTTCCTTGTCCACAAGTCAGTGGAGAATGGTAGCAGAGCTCTTTGTAGTTAAACGGAAGGGAGGATGTAACTGAACTTTTCAACAAGATGTTTTATTTCTGACTCCTCTAATACATGTTTGGCATGAGAATAATGATTTAAAATATTTGTTTTCTCATCTATGTAAGGATTTTCTACGAAATATTCCAGGAAGTATTTTTTCATCAGATCTCTATGATCACTGGGTCTGTGTAATGGATCAAGGAAATGATGAAGAGAAAATAAATACAATTCAAAGGTAATTGTTCTAATTTGGTCATGTCTCAAAAACACTTTTTAAAAATTTATATCTTATATGCTTTTCTATTAAAAATCAAAGTCATTTTCATGGAGACCAGTTTTAAAATAGAATTACGCTATCTTTTCATTGTTATGATCTCTCCCCTACTTCTCTTAACATGGAATACTTGAACATCGTACACCCTCTGTATATCTGAATTGATAGGAGCTGTAATTCATTAGTTCACTAACTAATACTGAAGGCCCAGTCTACAGTTTATGATCTTAATTTTGGTAAATATTTAACCAGACAGCTCCTTAAATAATTCATCAAGCAACTTGAGGTCATAGAGAGAAAATGACCTATTCCTTCTTCTAAAGGACTGTAGTTTGATATAGATAGATAAACCAAGACTTATAGTAATCATGCAGTATAATCAGTGTTATACCAGAGATATTTGAAGAGTACTGCGGGAGCACAGGAGAGAATTGTTAACTCTTTGAGAAGTGTCAAGGAAAACAAGAATCACCAAGTCTCAGTCTGATCACAAAGAATGCACTGCTTCTACTCAAGCAAAGGGCAGTTGTTAGTAGAACTCAGTACATCCATTCCTGGACATTTTTACATTATAAGAGAATAGGAAAGAAATGTCCACTAACAAAAAGCAATACTTCCAGTTCTATGAAAACTCAATAATCCCACTATCATTTATTTGCATGTGCTTGTCAAATATGAATTATCCATATACTGCTATTGGTAAACACTTTTTATAGGGGAAACATAGCATATCCTTTGAAGATACCTGAAACTAAAGCCATCTAAAAAGATACTACCTTTACTTTCATTTGGTTGCTCATTGTCCATAAGCTTTTGAAGGGGGATTTTTTTTAAGGGGGTAATATTATGAGTCTCATGCAAATATACAAATAAATATAACTGAAAGATTTTAATTATTAATTGATATAGGAACCAACAAAATGTTGCAACCATCTTTATAGATTTCAAACTATCATAACTTAAGTAGTTTAATTAGAAATACTGAAATTAATTTATAAAAAGATATGAAACTCACTTTTTCTACCAGAGCAGGGGTGCAGATAAATCAGTTGTCTCTCCACCAGACAGAATTTTTAGGTCTTTAGCAAAGTATTATGTACACTGCTATCAGTTATCTACAACTTGCAGAGTTGTAAAATAGCTCTTGTTGTAAAAAGGCTTAGGGGACCCTATAGTATCCCAGAAGCATATACTTACTATAAGCCTTATTTTCCATTGAGTACACCCAGTAATCTTTTGGTCTATTTCAAACTCCTTCATAATTTATCCTTACAAAACTATACCCAATATAATAATACTGAAGAAAGGCTTTTCTGCTATTTGGGCAAGTGGGAGTCAGATGACCTTGTTTTCTACAGGTTGCAAATTCTTTTTTTAAAAAAGCAACAGTCATGGATATCAGTTCATATATGTTTTCAGGATAGTAGCAAAAGGTCATTTGTAGTGAATAATCATTTTAAAAATACCTTACCAGCTTGGCATCCATAGCACAGTGGTTACGGCGCCAGCCACTACGGCACCAGCCAAGAGTGGCGGGTTCAAACCCGACCCAGGCCAGCTAAACAACTGCAACAAAAAAAAGCCAGGCATTGTGGCAGGCACCTATAGTCCCAGCTAGTTGGGAGGCTGAGGCAAGAGAATCACTTAAGCCCAAGAGTTGGAGGCTGCTATGAGCTGTGATGCCACGCACTCTACCGAGGGCTACATAGTGAGACTCTGTCTCAAAAAAATAAACAAAAAAAATCCCTTACCAATTACCAAATTGGAAAAGTAGAAAATATACTACTATAAGTTTGCATTATATGTGAAAGCAATAGCAATGAAAGATTTGGACAAAATCAACCTTAGAAGCTGGTGGAGTGGGGCATAAACCCTCAGAATGGACCTGGACATCTTTGTAGCTAAGATTTGGGTGCTTAGCAAGAGATAGCCTTACTATGTTGCTACTTGAAAATAAACGGGCACTTTAAATTTAATTGCTTTTTTAAATGCTGTGGGCCCAAGGGGGGGAAATGTTTTCTTGTGTAGTAGTCAATGTGTTGATTTTATCAGAAAGGTTTCTGTGGGTTTAGGTCAAGAATATTCTGTAATGTTACAGGATTTGGCTAAGTTTAAACACATTGTGCTGCTTCTCGGGGAAATATTTCAGGCAATTTTTTTGTTTAGATGAGATATTTTTCTGCATTTTTTTATTTTCATTGAGGTCTGAAGACCTATACAAAAATACAGAAAAACAAATCCCCAATGTTTATTTCTCTTTCTGTATAGGCAGCCCTCACTTGCTGGGTACCCTGCTAACTGAAACTTGCAGATCTGAGCTGGGTTCCTGATTCACCCTCTTCCTCATACCCAGTTAGGATTGCCTGTCTTTACAAGTTTTCAATGAAATGTCTTGCTTAAAGAGTGCATTTTTCTGTCTTTAGGCTATTAGACCAGCTTCCAAGAGCCAATGTTGTTCTCCTGAGGTATCTTTTTGGGGTATTACACAACATTGAGCAACATTCCTCATCCAATCAGATGAATGCATTTAATTTAGCGGTGTGTATTGCTCCAAGCGTTCTTTGGCCTCCTACTTCTTGTAGCCCAGAACTAGAAAATGAATTTACAAAAAAGGTAATGAATTTTTTTCATTTTATGCCCTGAGGGATTGAATCCCCATTTTGAAACTGAAATTTGGGGGATTAATTTTAAAAGACTATTTCTTAAATAACCTTAGTATACTTCCTTATAAATTTAAGTTTACTAACTACGGGATGATTTATTCTATCCTTGTAAAGTGATTTGTCAAGCAGAAAAGTGATAACAATTTATTTCCTTCTCTTTCCCTTTAAGGAGTCTAAATACTATGACTGACTTAAACCATACGATATGAAAGATAAGAAAGCAGCTGATATGGTTTTAAAAAAATAAGACGGAGTTAGGCAAGCCAAGGTTCATTCTTAGCCCACCACTTGCCGGAGGTATAATCTTGAGCAAAGTCAGTTACACTGACCAACAGCGTCCTTACCTGCAAAAGTGGAAGTGGTGATACTCTAGTACCTGCTGAAAAATCACATTCCTATAATTCCTGGCAGTTAATAAAGTGTTTGAAGATAACCACTTTCTTTTGCTGTCATTATTTCTCCTGCCCCTTGGCCTCAACTGCTAGGATGGGAAAACTATAGAGAAGTTCTTTTACATCCCAGTGGAGGTGCAGAGCTCCCTAATATCTCTTCCCTGAGGCACCTCTAGTTAGGGAGCCCAGTGGCAGGCAGTGTACATGTAGCCTATTCAGTCAAGTGCGTGGATAAAGACCAGTCAGGAAACAGACAGGTGTTCTTTCTAGCTGTCTCTCTCCCTCATGATACATCTGCAGAGGATCCTACTGCCCAAGCTTATGACCTCCTGCCCTTTACATAAGAATGCTTTTGAGAATTCTTTGTCTAATAATGCTTTAAAATTTTAATAACAAAGTATATTTCTTCACCCGAGACCTTAGTGAGAATGTTTGAAATGACTCTAATTTTAAAGATCGAGAGCCATTGGTATAAATGTTAACACAGGCCAAGGCCACAAGTAATAACTTCAATGCCTGATTAAAATTAATTTCTGTGATCACTTCTTAGCCTTTTGACTAAGATCAAGTGTGGTATTAGTTCTTGTCAGTTTAGTGTCTGATGCATCCTCTATCCGAGGATAATGTATTGGGTGGATTTTTGGAGCAGAAAGTTGGAATAGGAGCTTGCTCCGTCCACTCCACACAGCGACCTGGTATTGCAGTACTTCCAGGAATGGTGCACCAGTAATTTAAAAAAAAAAAATTAATTTCTATGCCCAGTACCCAAAGTACTCTTGAAATTATCATAGTTTTTAGGGAGAACTATTTTATATACTTTTAAAACAGATATGAATTCTTCTTAGGACACATTTGCTTTTATTGTCATTAAAATCAGAATTTATATATGAAACGTGATTTATATACATGTTACATGAAAACTGGCACTTCATTTTTGTCCCCTTTTTTTGTATAGATTACCCTGCTTTTACAATTTCTGATTGAAAATTGCTGTAGAATATTTGGAGAAGAAATCACTTCCCTTTTTAGAGAGGTTTCAGGGAGATGTGACACTAGAGGAAATACCTCAGGTATTGTGAATTTAATTGGTTTTGTGAAATATAGTCTCATGTCTGTGAAGACGCTGGGACAGTGGTGTTCCTGGAGCCTTCCAGAATAGGAATTCCTGTACCACCCGTTACTAGTTATGTTACCTTTGAGCAGTAACTTCATGCCACTGAACATCAGTCTTCATCTATAAAATGTAGATAAAAATAATGTCTTTGTGGTTTTTATAAATATTAAATAAGATAATGGGTATTAAAGAATTCTGTAAAAAAAATTCGTAGGTTAGTGAATGGATACCCTACAGCTAGAGTTAATTTTGTACGCCAACTAACAATCCGTGTTAGAAGGCAGAGACTTATCCAGAATCTCGGTATATCTAGCATTAATTTCTTCATATTCTTTACCATTTTTTGGTCTTACAACATGTTCGTTGCTTTGAGAAAATCTTACTTAAGGAAAGCCCATTCATTAGGACCTGAGGAAAACCTAGAATACCCCAGAGGGGTTTCTTCTTTTATTCTATACTAACATTTGGGAAGATTATAAAATATTTTTTCTTTCTTAAGAGTAGGAATTTGAATACATGAAAAGAGAATTAAACGAAGCACCATATTTGGTTTTTAGTGCTGTGTGCTGTATTTGTGCTAAGTAAAAATGTTAATCATGGTTTGATTTTTTGACAGATACTTCTCGCTTCCAACTGAGTGACTCCTCTTATGACAGCTTAGAAAATGAACTAAATGAGGATGTTGATGGCCCATGCAGTGACATAGTAAAGAAACTTGGCCAGGGGAGCAGAAGCATGGACTCTATTTTAACCTTCAGCGACTACGACCTTGACCAACCTGAAGTGGAAGACCTGTTAACCCTGAATGACTTTGACTCAGACCATTCTAAAGAAGATGATGCTCAAATAGAACAACCTCTTGAATCCAAGCCAGCGTTTGCTAGAGTGTGCAGAAATATCCCCCTGCAGGATCCTGCCAAGGCCCCATCTGTCACACGCAGCCACCTGTCCACAGCCGCAGCAGAAGCTGCAAAACGTGTGAGGCGAAACCGGCACTGCTCAGAGCCCAGCATCTACCACCTGGATTCAAAGCTTTCCTCTCTCAGGGAGTTTTATCAGAAAAAGCTACGCAAGTCCAGCTGCGATGCAGTTCTCTGTCAAAAAGATGGGGATTATCTAAAGCAGAAACAGCCCCTCCAGGAAGGAGGCAAGATATGTTGTAAACAGAGTTTACTCCCAAGCACTAATACCAGCAAGAAAAATTCCACTAATCAAAACATTAAGAAGAAAAGCTTGTCTGGTAGTGAAGGAAATTGCAAGAAACTTTTGTGTAAGTCCAAGCCATTGGCCATTTCTGTGTCCTCCCAGGATCATTCCAGGCATCAGCTGTTTGATGCGGATACATCTGGATACTCCCCACCACACACAGCAGATGCCCTCAAGAGTTCAAGAAAACAACGGCGCTGCTCAGAGCCCAGCATAGATGACCAGAAAGGCAAACTGCCCCTTCTCTGGGGGATTTCTTCTAACAAGCAGCATAAAAGCAGCTGGGAATCTGTTCTTTTGCATGAAGAGGAGGATTACCTCAAACGGCATAAGTCTTTGCAAATAGAGGGACAAAAGCTTATTAATCAGAGTTTGATCCTGGGGATTGAGGTGGGCAAGAGTAGTGCCACAAACCAAAACACTGAGAAGGTTTTACCCCCAAGATTATCCCTCTGCCCAAGGACTAGCTATTCCAGCTTATCGTCTCCAGGCACTTCCCCGTCAGGCACACCAGGGAGCTCCCAGGACAGCGCTTTCTCTCAGATTTCGGAACACTCCGTGTTTACACCCACTGAAACTTCCTCTCCAACAGACTGCACTTTTCAGGCTCAAAGACAACAGGAAAAGTTTTCTCCCAGCTATAGCGGTTCCAGCCTTGTTTCTGAATTGCCCGGTCCCTCAACAGGACAGGACAGCAGCTGCCTGTCGTACACAGAAAAGGACACCAAAGAGCGGCATTCACAAGCACATTCTGTAACTCTCCATCCCACCACGTGGTTGAGAAATGGTGTGGCCAGTTTGAAAAACTGGTCTCTCAAAAAGAAAGCAAAGGCAGCAAGACCAGAGGAAAAGAAAATAGGTTCCCTACAAGGACCCTTGGAGCCACCTCCTAATGCTTCTGGTGTTGCAGAAGACAACTCACTGCAAGAGAAACAGAACGACATTCCCCTAAGGGCAGCTGAGGGACTGTGGTGTAGTTCTTCTCCCTGCCAGGACTCAGACGGACCCTGTAGCTCTCGATTCAGCCTGGTAGAAAGCAGACTCAAGCTGTATATGAAGTCACATGAGGAGGTAGATCATGGTGGCCTGGGCTCTTCTGATTCTCTGGCTTGTGAAGGAGCCTCAGCCAGCTCTTGGACTGTGGAGGCTGTGGCCAGCCCAGGTTCAGGGCCTGCAGTACTCTATGATGTTGGGGACAAACATTTAACCAAAGACATTTAACCATAATAAGAAACTGATCTCCACAAGAACCAGAAATGAGATAATAATAACATAAAGCCAATATTCATATGACCCTTTTGTAGGAGATACCTGGGAGAGGGAGCATAAGGATAATCACAGCTAATAAGATATCAAAGTAATTCTTTTTATTGAGATTATTTTGCAAAAACTTTATGGTAAAAAACGTTGTCACTTAAGTTTGGAGGATTTTCCTTATTGAAACACAGGATTAGTCCTATCATGTGGCTTCAGAGATACTAGCAGAGGGCTAGAGAAAGCATCTTCTGCAGAGCAAGCATGACTTATGTGAACAGTCTGTGAGATTAGTGTCCTGAGACTAGCAGGGCATCACAAATGAGGAACAAGGGGCTGGGGGCCGGGGGTTGTAGAGAGAAACCACCCACATTTTATGGAATGTTTTTTAATAACTAGACAAGAAAAAGGCTAATGATCAAAGCTTTTAAGAAAAAAAAGCATGTCCAGTAATGAAGAAAATCACTTTAAACTTTTCCCCAAATCTAAGCCATGTTCTTTTCTGTGGCATTTTATGGTCTCATGTCTTCACAGACTCATTCCAGGAACCAGCCCATTCATGCAGCCAGAGTGGAGAAAACAGTAATCCAGGCCCTCTGGGTAGATGACGTCAGTTTTTGTTGGCTTTATTTGTCAATTTGTTTTCTCTTTATGTTGAGGTGCTTGCAGAAGCTTCAGGAAAAAGAGCTGTGAGGGAAATGGTTGGAAAGGAAATGGTTGCTAAAACTATCCTTGTCTTCTCAGGATTAGGAGCAGTTTTCTTGCTACTTATTAGGAAACGTTCCGTAACATGTGGGTGGTTTCTCTGTACAACCTCCCCCATCTCCCCAGCCCCTTGTTCCTCATTTGTGCTGCCCTGCTAGTCTCAGGACGCTCATCTCACAGACGGTTCACATAAGTCATGCTTGTTCTGCAGAAGATGCTTTCTCTAGCCCTCTGCTAGTGTCTCTGAAGCCACATGGCAGGCCCAATCCTGTGCTTTAATAAGGAAAAGCCTCCCAAACAAGTAGGTGACATAATTTTTTAGCATTATGTTTTTGCCAAATAGTCTGCCCTTTCAAAGGTGTCTGTTCTGGAACATTATTCAGAAATGCAACTTTTGCAGTTTAGAAAGAAGGCAACCTCCTGAGGGCATTCACTCTCTTAGTGTCTAGGAGAAGACCACAACCCAACTGTCCTTTTTCAGTTACTCAAATGCTGTTACCAGCATTGATCAAAGCATGGCACCTCTGCCCTGAAATGTTTCCCTGTAGCCCTGCCTCTTAGATTACAGTCAGCCAGAAAAAATTACTGATAAATCATTCTTTTTCTGATGTTTGTAGTCTGGCAATTGAGAGAGTGATTTAGAGTTTGACAGGTTATAAGGAGCCACAGAATACAGTATCCAATCAGGTGGCTGCCAGGCTTTCTGAGATAGTCGTCGCCTTTGAGTTTTCTTACTTCCAGGAGTTTTTTCACATTTCTGTCCTGTGGTTCGTGGTTTATACCCCATTAGTTTATTTCATATTTATGGACTGTTCTCCTGTGTCTTGACTTAAAGGCTACAACAATACATCTGCCCACCTAGGAATAGATTATGAAGCCCTGACAACAAAGATGAAGGAATGGCACTAAAAATGGGTGTGCGTATTCCTTCACGTTAACTACTTACATAGAAGAAGTTGCTTGGATCCCATTTGATTTCTTTAGTCCACCATCAAATGGATCTTTTTCCCACAAGATAGATTATTCCATATTTGTCAATCACCAGGAAACTTTGTTATCAAATATTCTTTCCCCATTATCCTAAAGTTATAGGGGGATAAATGTTTCTTTAAGATAGACGAAGTTGTTTCAGTATTAGCTACATAGGTGCTACCTACCTCTCGGGGACACAGCCCTGTTTCCCTAATCATTACAATTAACTTTTAGAACTCTGTGTCCAAAGCACTCCTTCATGACACTGGCCATCTCAGTTACAGATGTGAACTTATTTCACTTTATAACTAACCACTCCTATATATCCAGACTCCTTAAGTATCCATCGACATCTTTTGTGTAATAATGAATAATAAAGCAAGCAGGGACAACCCTTACCCTTAGGGCATACTACTTTCAGAACAGCAAGATGTGGATCCTTCCTAGGGGACCAGGAAAAAAAGACAAAAAAGAATAACTGCAAGATGTGAATGAATCTCTCAGATCCTGGAATGTCTTTCTGGAAGAAATTGCTTTTCTATTTACCAAAATAATTGTTCTAGCATCTTTAATATTGGCAGGTAGAAAATCATGCAACCAATTTGAAGCATAGAAGAAAATAGTTGGCTGAAGTTTTTTAATAACCATTCCTACTCTCTCTGTTCCCTTAGATACTCCTATAATATTTAATGTGAAGTTTGTTAATATTATTGTAAAGTATTATATATTGTATGATTTGAAGACAGATTTCATGTCATTTTAATATACTCCATCAATCTATAATATATTAGACTGATGCTTTATCTAAAATGCTTTGAGTTTGTATAATATATCTTGACAAATTTTACTACCATATGTTATGTAATAAATGTGTATTTTTGTACTTGCAGAAACTGCTGCTAACTTTTAAAGTTGTTTGGTTTTCAGGCACTGAAAATGAATATGTATAAAGTCCATGCTGTTTGTTAAATAAAATGCCATTCTGCAGAGGTAATAATCCCACTAGAGCAATAATGCCCATTGTAGAATTGTTCTAGTTAATGAGCCAAATCTCTGCCTAACGTTGGAAACTCCATAGAATATAATTAACGTTGAATTAGAACTTGGAACTTTTAGTCAAAAGCCACAGTCAGAAACCTTTAGAAAAAGGTTTTTGTTTTCTTTTTATATTTTCTCTAGTGTTATTTACCAAACAAGCCATGTTTTGGACATAAATTTAAGAAAATAAAAAAATGAAGACTTTAACAACAAAGATACAGATTAAGGAAAAAAAAATTGCCACAGATGGGATTAAAAGAGAATTAAATATACATAAAAATAATTTACCGAAGTTGATAAAAATGGGCATTGTTTTTATTGTGCTCCTTAAATGAAATGTAGTCAATATTCTTATATCAAAAGAACCATCAGCTCACTTTTAATAGATTGTATGAGATTCTCTTTTCTAACATTGGACCATTATGTCAGAGTACTCAGCTACATACAAGATATAACCCCAGACACATATAAGATATCTGTGCTTTTCAGATAACATAAATTTATTAATTTTGACTAGATCTCCATGACTACTGTATCTTTACCTTTCAGAATACACTGAGGTACCATTGTGTAAATTTAATCACCATTTCAAAGGGATTCAGATAAATATACTACCTTAGGCCAGAAAAAAATTCATTTTTTGCTCTAACTGGGCAGTAAAGATTAAAACTCCTCTGTCATAAATGGCACAGATTATATTTGGGTAATGTATACATATACTGATGTTAATTTCTCTCTAAATTTTACAGAAATAAAGATAATTTTGCTTTTGAAAAAGAATAGCACTTGATACTTTCTGATATTAAAAAACATTAGTCTAGAAGAAGGCTTCAAGATAGAGGACTAGAGACATCTCCTCATCAACTGCTCTTGGTAAAGAGAGGAGTAACCAGCTGCCACCATCTGGATCATCCTACCCAGAAGCAAGATTGCATGGCACAGTGAGAAAACATGGGATGCCAAGAGCCAAGAAAGATAAGAAGGGCAGCAGGCCTCCAGAGAAATTAGGTATAAGAGAGCACCATGACTCAGGGACATAGCCTACACATGGAATTTCTGGAGGATTAAGTCCACAGGAGATTTTCCTCCACCTCTACCAGGCACCCTGTAAGGGTGCGCTGGGGATCAGACTGAATTCCAGGAAGGCCTGTCCTTCCAGGCATGGGTATGTTGTGAGACAAGCAGTAACTGAGGTCCCAGAGGACTCTGATTTTCACAGAAGCCAGCCATTTATCAGAGGCCTAGAAAGTGCATTCTGCTTCTTTAGGACAGACCTGGAGGCTTGAGCCTGGGCACTAATGGGAGTGGCATTTAGCAGGCTTTAGACATAGAACTTGCTCAATGGGGGGCCTGGCTGCCAGGCATCCCCAACCTGGGAAGAGCTGCAAAGAGGGAGAGGAGAATGTGGAAAACTTGAGCTGACTGGCACCCATGGGTGCCCAGTTTGAAGCAGCCTTCCAGAGCTTCAATCTAGACTGGCACTGACTCTGCCTTCTGGACTTTGACAGACACTCCTAAACTGACTACCACAGAGACATAGGCCAACTTGGGAAGATCCCACCTCCCCTTTTGACTGCTAGAAACTGTTTGGATGGCCAAGGAACATCCCCCAGAAAGTTTGGCATAAACTTCATGACTTTGGCTTCACTGCCCTTATACAGAATTCAACTCTGGTGCAGCTACCACCCCCAGATTAAAATTTAAAAAATCAAGAAAACAAGACTGAATCTCTGTGGCAACTAGCTAGTAACTTTCTGCCCCCACTCCATTCAGAAGCAGATGTACTTTTGTTTGTTCGTTTTTTTTAGTTTGTTTCTAAACCTCGTAGGGCCAACTAGTGTCCATTAAATTTTTTTTTTTCTTTTCCTAATCCTGAAGCCAACTAGAGTCCACACAATATATATTTTTTAAATATTAATTTCTTATCCTCTTGCTCTTTTTTTCCTTCCTTTTCTTAGTTATTTTTCTTGTCTTTCTCTTATAATTCCCTTAGATTATCAACATATCTTTTGTTTGTGTTGTTTTATTTTTAGTTCTGGGTGGGGGGCAGAGTCTTGCTCTGAGGCCTGGACTAGAGTGTCATGGGATTGGCCTGGCTCATAACAGCCTTGAAACCCTGGGTTTGGGCAACCCTCCTGCTTTAGCCTTCCAAGAAGCAGGAGCAAAGGTCCCTACCACAGTGCACAGCTTACTCTTTCTGTATTTGGTAGAGGAAGGGTCTCATTCTAGCTCAAACAGTTCTCAAGAGCCTAAACCTCAGGCAATCCTCCCACCACATTCCCCTCCGGACAACTGGAATACTGTTGAAGGCTACCATACCCAACCTATAATCTTTCTCACCCTTCTGTCTTTTTTGTTATTATTTTT